CGGAGCGGGGGGTGATGGGCTGCCCCCAAACCCGGCAGCCCCCGAAGAGAAGGGGGGGGCAGAAGGACCCCCCCCACCAAGTTATAATCCCCTTGGAGGATGTTGGGATCAAAGCTTATCTGCCAGGAAACCCCTCTGGCACCCTCAGACCCCCCAGCCTTCCCAGGAACGGGGTATTTTTGGCAACAAACCCCTAATTAACCCCATTTTTTAATTATTTGGGGCATTTTTAGGGTCCCTTTTTTAAACTCTCCCGCCGATATCAGCCCGCCAAAGCGCTCCCCCCCGCCCCTCGAGCTGCTTCTTTATAAATATTGGAGCGGCAATACCTCTTTAGTAATTAACAACTGGTTAATTAAGCTGCATCGCGCGCCTGACCGAGCGCGGTTCCTCTTGACGAGGGGCTCCGTAGCTTCTGGAAATTCATCCAGTAGCGCCCGAGTGCATCGATCCCCCACCGAGCCGGGTGGGTCAGAGCTTGGCAGGTGGGGGGAGGAGGTGGAAAGGTTTGGGGGCATCCCCAAAAATATTTTGGGGGAGGAAAAAGAGAGTGAGGTGGATTTTGGGGGGATGCTCTGTCCGGAGTTACACGGATGCTGCTTAGGAGAAATAGCTGGCGGTGACGAGTGTCACCAGGACCCCCAAAATTTGGGACTGGGGAGGGAGACTGAAAAAAAAAAAACAATAAAAGAAAATTGAAACTGTTTGGATGGAGAAAAAATACCGAGCGGCTCCTGCCCCTGCTGCGCTCACGGCTTGGAGGTTTTCAGAGTCAAGGGGTGAAGCGCAGTGGCCGTGCCAGGGCTCCCACTTCCCCCCCCACCCCTGGCTTTTTTGGGGGTTGATAACGCAGTTTTGGGTTAATTAGGTATCGTACATCCTCGGGACAGGGATGCACTGCGGGGCTTGATGCCAGGAGAAAATGATGAGAAGTGGGAGCGGGGTGGGATGAATCCCAGCGAGGATGCCAGCTGCGGTGAGACCCAAGGGAATTGAGCTTGGGTGACATTTCGGGGGTCACGGCCACATCTTGTGCCTCGAGTCATGGCTGGTGGGGGCAACACAGGGTGGGAAGGAGGCAACCTTGGGGGCATCACCTGAAAACCGCAGGGATGGAGGAGCTGCATCATAGGATCGGGAGG